TTTGGCACTCCTCTCACAGCAGGCATGATGATCTTCCCAGATCTTCAGTTGACCTATACCAATACACTAACCCTATCCTACAACTCCTTAGACAACCCTAGGATGAAAATTTAACTGATAAAATCCTGCACGGCCCTTTTGCTACATTAAAAAAAACACAAGCCTTGTATGTTCGAATCTTCCCCCTCTTTTATGGACACGGGTCATTAGAACTTCCGTCTCTCGCTGCCCCCCTCTAACCTACCTCACCCCATAACCCCGGCCCTGACTAGCCTATTATTATCGAGCCCACGTCCCTGAGTCAAATCAAAATCCCTCCCCCTTAAAGCCCCCCTCTAACCTACTCATTTTTTATGCCCGCTTCCTGGCTATCCTATCAAGCTTTTCCCATCCCTATCAAAGATTGAAGTACTAAGGACTTGTTTGATATGTTTTTTTTTTTTTTTTTAACGTTAAATGCTTTTGTGAGCAATTATTATTTCTTTGCTAAAAATCCCTATGGAAGAAACAAACCAAAACACAACTCTAATCAAATGAAATTTTAATGCAAAAAAACTAACCCATAGCCTAACCAAAGAGCTATTAAATCAAGCAATGAGGTATTATTTCTTCTACAAAAATAGCCGCATGGATAAAAAACAACTAAACGCTCACACTCAATCAGATGTATATTCATTTTCCAACTTGTTATCTTACCTAAGGATGATGACAAGCAAGAAATCATTAAAAAAAACACCATCAATCAAAATGAGAAATACACATTAACTCTGACACTTGAACAAAAAGAAATAAAATGGAAAGAGTCAACAAATAAAATTAGGATGGATAATTAATTTTGTTGGCTCAATCATTATCTTACAGTGCAATGAAAAATCAAGTCATTAGAACTTCTGTCTCTCGCTGCCCCCCTCTAACCTATCTCACCCCATAACCCCGGCCCTGACTAGCCTATTATTATCGAGCCCACGTCCCTGAGTCAAATCAAAATCCCTCCCCCCTTAAAACCCCCCTCTAACCTACTCTTTTTTAATGCCCGCTTCCTGGCTATCCTATTAAGTTTTTTCCATCCCTATCATAGACGGAAGTACTAAGGACTTGTTTGATTTTTTTTATGTAAAATTTCTTTTATGAGCTATTATTATTTCTTTTCCAAAAAATCCCTAAATATTGAACAAACTAAAAAGTAAAAAAAACCCATTTATGTTAGATGCAGTAGATTCATTTTTCTAAGAAAAACTGATAACCTTCCCCAATGATGACAAGCAAGAAATAATGTGGATACAAAAAAACTATCAATCAAAAGGAGAAACGTACATTAAGTTTCACAACAAAACAAAAATGAATTAAATTGAAAAATCAACAAATAGAATTGGGATGAGTAATTTTGTTGGCTCAATCATTATCTTACTCGTGCAATGAAAAATCAAGTCATAAGAACTTCCGACTTTCGTTGCCTCCCTTTTACCTATATCACCCCATAACACCCCGGCCCTGACTAGCCTACCTTTATTTCAGCCCACGTCCCTGAGTCAAATAAAATCCCTCCCCCCTTAAAACCCCCCTCTAACCTACCCTTTTTTTAATGCCCACTTCCTGGCTATCCTATCAAGTTTTTTCCATCCCTATCAAAGGCGGAAGTTCTAAGGACTTGTTTGATATGTTTTTAAACATTCCTGTGTGAACTATAATTTATTTTACAAAAAAATCCCCATGGATGAAACAAACCAAAAACTCAATTCTAAAAAATCTTCGACAAACAACTATCCACCAAAAGGAGAAGTGACATTCATACTCAAAGATAAATTAAAGAGATGGAAAAAACAACAAATAGAATTAGGATCAGTAACAGTTTAACTCAACTTTTAGCTGACTTATGTAATAAAAAATCAAGTCATTAGAACTTCCGACTTTCGTTGCCCCCCTCTAACCTATTTCCCCCATAATCCCGGGCCCTGGACTAGCCTATCATGATTTAGCCCACGTCCCTGAGTCAAATCAAATCCCTCCCCCCTTAAAACCCCCCTCTAGCCTACTCATTTTTTAATGCCCGCTTTCCTGGCTATCCTAACAAGTTTTCCCATGCCTATCAAAGGCGGAAGTACTAAGGACTTGTTTGATATGTTTTTAAAATTTAATTTTCTTTGTGAGCAATTAATTATTTAACAAAAAATCCCTAGGTTAAAAACTCAATTCTAAAAGATCTTTGACACAAAACTATCCACTAAAATTAGAAACTCCCAATAACTTATACACTTCCTAAAATAATGTCATGAACAAAATTATAGAAAGGATAAAACGCAACAGAAAATCTTAAGATGAAAAAAAAAACAGAATCTCAACTCTTCTTGATGCAACCAATGACATCTTCATCCCAGTACAATTGGGACATCTGAACATCAACATATGGTTAGAATAAAGCTTAGATATTATTTTTAATTAATTAATATAAACATTTAAATAGTTCTTTGTTAGAATGATGCGGTTTTTAGTTGAATAAAAAAGGAATCTAAGATGTTTATGAAATTGTCCTTTTTAGATGTGAAAGGTTGTTTATCAATAGTTGTCATTACTTTGACCTTGTCTTAACATTTTCTTTGCAATCTCCATTTATTCTATTGCCTTTATGTTTTGAGTAAACATTGTATTTTCTTGGCAATTTTATGAATTGTAAAAGTTTGGATATTCTCTCAAGAAGCAGTTTAATTTGTGAAACACTTATGAGAATTGTAATTTTTATGATGCTTACATCACTAAAATATACTACGGTAGTTAATATAATTCATAATACTGTAAATTGCTGGAGATTAATAACTACTTACTTTCAGTAGGTATCCTTTGTGTTTACAGACTCATGAATTCTTCCAGAAGTTGGACTTGAAATTATGAATGAGTCGCTTTGCTTACTATAGTAAACTGTGTTGGTTCAAAGAGTGACATAAATATTGAAAAGATAATTAAAGAATGATTTGTTGTGTTAGAATCAGATTTTTGGGGAATGTTAAACTAAACTTTAACAAAAAAGAGACAACCCCCTTTCATATAATTTTGCATGCCTCGGGATGCTCAGGCTAGAAATGTTGATTGAAATACATTTAAATGGGACCACTGACCACTCAATTGGAAAAAGGTTAATAATATAAGGCTACAGAAAGATTTTTTAATCATTAACTTACATAGACCACATACATTTTTAAGATGGCATGAAGCATACAAAAATTTAAATAACAGTCAAAATATTTGAGACATTGTCAACAATTAGCTTCTCGTACTTAAGATTTGATGTCGAAGAATTGAAAATCTATATTTTTATTACAGTAGTTTCTAATCTCTAATCAATTGTTGTCATGATCTACATTTACACCTACGAATGTTAAGGGAAATTTAAGCTGCATGTCGAAGGCTCTTTCTTCATAAAGTAGAAGACAATTTCCATGGTAGACAGAGTTGTATTTTGACTTTGGGTATTATTAAAAGAACTCACAGTTTCGTTCATTAACTGGATTTATTAGGGTGAAATTACGGCACAGAACAAAGTTGTGGAATATAATAATAGTAGCATGTCTAGCATAACGGAAGTCACTGATGTAAAATGTTTTAAAAGAGCGTTACCAACACATCAAATCAAATAATGTACGGAGTACCTAAGATAAAGAATAATAACACTGATGTACAACATTTTATATTATGTACACATAACTCATTTCTGAGGTGTTGCCTTCCGGATTACTTAACAAATAATAATCTAGAGGTTAAATACCTTATTGCCAACGTAATCCTTGGTAGACTTAATGGCTACCGGTTTTGACACACTTATAGTGTCATTGTCAAGCCTATACGTAGTTTTTCGCTCCTAGGAGGTCGTCATAGAGTCTTCAAAAACACATAACGAGGCGAACAAATAACAAAAACGAACATGTACACACATTTTAACGAATAAGGTATGGCCATACAACTCACGGCGCGGCTGCGGGTTCAGGGTGTAGGTCTAGACTCACACCCTGAACCCACAGCTGCGCCGTGAGTTGTATGGCCATACCTTATTCATTAAAATGTTTGTACGTGTTCGTTTTTGTTATTTGTTCGTCTCGTTATGTGTTTTTGAAGACTTTATGACGACCTCCTAGGAACGAAAAACCACGTCTAGGCTTGACATTGACACCATAAGTGTGTCGAAACCGGTAGCCATTAAGTCTACCAAGGATTACGTTGGCAATAAGGTATTTAACCTCTAGATTATCACATAACTCAATTACAGTCCGTGAACTCTACTCAATACTTTATAGATGTTATGCTTTTTGCTTTCTACAAAATACGGAATAGGAAAATGAGCAAATTTCTAAATAATAAAAATAATACATGAGTAAAATAACTTGAGTGTTATTGGACACAAGAGAACTATTAATATTAATACGGTATCTGACTGAGTAAACATTTATTACTACTCAGTCCTAATACGCCTAAAATATAAAATTTTAGTTCTTCCTATTGCCTCAATTGCTTAAGCAATGTAATGTGCTCCAAAATCGTCATAGCATTAAACATTTATTCTCATTAAGCTAACTCTGGACAATCCCTTGATTTGTTAGTTATTACAAGACTAGCATTACCATAGTTCAATATTGTATTGATACAAAACAATTAAAACCTATCATTACTGAATCATTTATACCACCACAAATTTAAGGTATGATGATGTATGGTGATGTGGTAAGGAGATGTAGGTTGAGCAAACACTTTATAAGGCACAATCACTGTAATACATTATTGTACAATGTTAAAATTCACTTAAATACAAAAGTTCTTTTGTACATTTTTTTGCGGTCCCCTTTGAAACCTATTGTTCTTTCAGCTAAAGCAGACATATATTTTTATTTCTAATTTCTACATATATTTTCAACCAAATTTTCTCACAACACAACTACATGAGGCATTATTGTGGTTTGAAGCATGAGCACTCACGGTCTGAAGATTTCTATTTTCCTTTCCCTGTTAAGTTAGAGTCCAGACAAGAAGCTGCTTACACTCATCTTCAATTATAAAACTTCAGTTTAACCTGTGTTTCCCTGGAAACAGACATGTACTATATAATAAATGGTTTGAAGTTTTAAATGAGGAGATATGTGTGAAAACAGCACATTTAAATATGTGTCAATACTCGTCTCAGAAGCTTAACTAATAAAGCAATACCTTCTCACATTTAGATTAAATTAGTTCCAGAAAATCATCATCCTATAAAACAAAAAAAAACATATTTATTTAAGAAAATTATGAGATATTATTTATAACAAATAAATAGTGTTATTTACACTACTAGATACTAATATGCAATATTTAAAATCTGTCATAGGTTCACCATAAACGGTGATTTACCTGTATAATTCACACTACTAGTACAACATGTTCGTAGTATTAAACCCGAGTGATGGTTTGTCTTCTTTAACACGTTCGCTCACGTTCGCCGAATATTTGCGGTCATTGCCACAACCCGAGGTATATATATTTTAATATTACAGATAGACCGGTTGTCTTTTGGTTAACAGTAGGCCTACATGCAGACCGCGGGCTAGTGATGCAGCAAAGTAAAAATCAGTTTTGCCAACTATCATGTGACATCACAAATCATCATATCCACAGACCAAGTGACGCACATATGCAACAGATATCATTGTAGACCACGTAAGAGAATTCAGGGCCTTCAAATAGACCGTTACGAAGATATAAGCTTTTTAATAATATTGGACACCGACGCAAATATGCGACGCCAGTCTATTTTGTGACCAGCTGTCGCATATATTCGACAGCAGTCTATCGGGTAGAAATCGGCGGTCGCATATGTGCTACAATAAAGTTAAGATCAGTTTCTTTACCCCTGGCATATTCTTATCCTAGTTATATTAAGTGGCAGTTGGACAAATTTGTTGTTGTTTAATCCTCAAGTTAGATCCTATCAATGACTCCCCAAAAGGCCAGAAACACCTTCTGTTCAAAGCACTATAACTGGAAAACTCAAATCATAACATAGGTAATTCTTTTCTTCTAAAATCTGATTTTTTTTGTCCAATTGAATTGAATTGAAATTAACATTTTTACATGGTTTTTCATGTTAAATAACAAGAAATATCTCTTAATTAAATACTGACCTTCTTGAACCAGCGAAGTTCATTATTTTCATCAAGTGAATCTAAAAACCAACACATTTTTTATTCCAATAAGATTGTATTGTTTTTACTAGTATCATTAGTTTTAGTTTAACACAATACAAATTTGTAGATCTAAAACATTTAGGTTTAAGACATTGAAGAAAATTTAGTTACCATGATACAGATAGCTAAAATTATTATTGTTATTTTTTTATTGCCTTGCACGGTCTTTCTTTTATTTTAAATTTAATGATGATCATGTTATTATGTTTAATGTGTCGGAAAGCAATATTGGAAGAGTATAAAATCCCAAAACATGTCCAAAATATAGGAGCTGGTAAGCGGTGGGAGTAACTTGGTTTAACAAAGTAGGCAAATAAATTAATGTTAGGTTAGGGTAAGGTTAAGTAGATGTAAAAATATAACGTATAATAACCCTAACCATAAAACATACTCCCTTAGTAGATTTCTCATCCTTATGGAACAGCTGAAGACAATTTTATTGTTAGTTCTGTACGGTTTATGTAGAGGTCGTGTTTTGTTTACAATTTGTTTCCCATTATTACAGCCATTTAAAACCTCGTTTAACCAAATAATACGATCTAATCATAAACAATAACTTGTCCCCTAGTTATATAACCAAACAGTAAAGCACAAATCAAGAAATTAACACTAAAATAATAGAAACAAAGTTTCGTCGACACTAGCGCCTTTGTGTCAAGTACATGAACTAGACATGAAAAACGTGCTTCAAAATTTAGAATGGGATGAGAAGTCTACTTGTGTTGGTTAGTCTATGCCCTAACCTAACATAACATAGCCTAACCAATAACATGAAATTACCTTAAGCGCTCGTTATCACCTCTACCTTGGAGATAAGATTACCTCTTTCATTTCAAATAATGCTTTTCGAACAATTATACAATCGTAATATAGCCTATTCTTAGAAATTCTATTTAGAGTGACATATCTTCCTAGAATAATAATTGCAGGTGATTAAGTCGAAAGGTACTAAACAATTACCAAACAGTCACATTGACATTCTGGTCAGCATCCTACATCTTAACTGTGAAAAAGTGATATTTTACATACAAATTCTGGTCAAAATCCGTTACGTGCCCACAACTCTAATTTTTCCAATTGTACTTCTATGACTTATTAAAAACCTTTTACGGTAATAAATAATGAAAAATACAATATTTAGAAAAGGTTTTTGATCACACGCTATATAAATTTGGAGAATCGCAAAAAATAATAGAATAACTAGGCCTACTGCAAATTTTAAGCTGATGAGAAGTTTTGTTGGTTAAGTTAGGTTAGGTTAGATAACACTGTTCTAAACTAACCTAACCCGACCAAACTCTTCGAACAGCTTAAAATTTTTTTTGAGTAACTGAACTAAATGATCCATTACCGCGGGCTGCTGCTGGAGACGCTACAGCGAACCGTAAACTCTCCCAGACAGATAAGATAAGACCGACAACAATGCCTTAGGCCCCGTTTATGCACCAAGAGCGGGAGCGGGGCTCCCGCTGTAAAGATTTTGTCAAAATTGTGCAAGCAATAGCGGTAGCGGTTGGTCAACGGAGAATGGAAGGGGGATACAGTCTTGCCAACTCAAACTCTGCCAAATAATTAACACAACTATTTGTCCTAAGTGCACGTGCGCGTGGGTCAAGTTGGCAACCCTGGCTGCAGCCGCTCCCGCTCCCGCCGTGCGTAAACAGTCTCATTTGACTCAATGTAGTTGAAAACCGCTCTATCCCAAGCAACCGCTGCGATTTCTAACTACACAGCGGTTGAATTAGAAACCGCAGCCAGAGGGCAACCGCTCCCGCTATCGCTCTTCGTGCATAAACAGTCCCATTTAACTCAATGGTGTTGAAAATCGCTCCCGCTATCGCCCCGCTCCCGCTCTTGGTGCATAAACGGGGCCTTAGTAGCATTGACAACAATAACTGGAAATGATTCCATTCTACTAAACAATGTACTCTGTCATTGTGGACACGTAACGAATTTTCACCCAAATTCTTTCTTAAGCATTAAGAACAATCAACTAAAATAAAGAATATATAAGCCCTAGTAGCCTACTAGTTGAAACCTGTCAAAATCGACGGTTGCTTTAAAGGCTTACGACAATTCTTCTTAACTGCGATTTCATCAGTTATGCTGATTATTTTTTTTTAAATATCTGTTTGTTGAGAAGGCACGGCACGTTCGTACTTCAAAGGGAGTCCCACCCAAAGCTGTGTAAGTTTTATTTTACCTTCGTCACAACGGTCACCATACCGTACTTCTGTGCCTATGAATAACCCTCTAAATTTAGCTATAATCATTTTTTAGCATAACATTGATTCCATGACATGCGGATGTCAGTTGTCTCACCCTTACATAAAGTGTTCAATATAATATATCTTCAGAATGTTAGGTGTAATGGAATATACTTGTAGTGAAGCTAGCTTTTATTCTTGAAATAAGGGACCTTGTTCATACGCTGCTTCATTGGCAACAAATAATGCATAACATTCAAAGGTTCTATTGTGTTTTCACTAAGCTGAATGAATACATCGAAGTAACATCTCTAAAAGGTCTGCAATAAACTGCAATTTTGCAGATTAATGACTTTCTAAATCATGCACATATTTCTTCATAAAAGTTATTAAAAAATTAATCCAGTTACTGTAAACCACTATTAATTTAACAAAATACGGACACGGCTCATGGGCAACCAGCCCTTCTGCACTTCTTGTATTATTTTGTACCTATTGTATTACACAATCAAAATCTTTTCAAATAATTGAAAACGTATGAAAATAGTCTCATTAACCTATGATGATCTGTTTTGAATAATAGGCCTAAGACAAAATATCGGCAAAAGTGGTCAAAAGGGCAGACACCAACCCGTTCAATAGATATAAGATAATTCGATAAGAAATCGTTTTAAGAGTTACTGTAATGAGTATTAAGATTTTCCAATGATTTTGTAATTGAACGTTAGCCTATCTAGGCCTATTGCAAAACATGAGATGATGTAGAACAAAATTATTTTTAAAATCAGAAAATCACATTGCTATAGCCTAATGTGTGTTGTTTAAAATACAATTTAAATATTAATAGCTATTTCAATGAAAAGTAGTAAAAAATATCCATATGACGATAATGTACACAAATCTGGGAAGGGAACTTTAAAGGCTTCTGGGGCAGAGCCATAAGGGGATTTACTTGGTTTTTCTTTTGATGGCTCATCTCCAGACTGAGACCTTTCTTAGCACACCTCTACCAGGTTTCTACGCCCAGCCGTTCTCTCAAATTAGTGGAGACAAAGTTTTCAATTAAATATTTTTAGATTCGATTCCCCCATGTTAATCTTATTGGAGAAACCCCAACTTTGATGGAAGATCCTGCTCAAACTAACAAAGATTTCAAACAATGAAAAACATTTTGCAAAACTACAGATCAGGGCGATATTTTTGACACTTTAATAATCAAAATCGGTCCAAAAATGGGGGAGGAGTTCTGTTTACAAAAATCACCTAATCTATCTAAAATATATAATTCACTTACCAAAATTAATCAGATGAAGACCCTGAGGTTTGTACACTAATGAATGAGTTCTTGTCACTTTTTAGCTATTTCCATTTCTACCCCTTTTTCAACATTGATCGCATCATTTGTATGTCGTACACATTCATTAATTAAACTATATTCTCTCACTATATTTCTAACACATTCATCATCTAAACTATAGTCTCTCACTATATTTCTAAGATCTTGTTTTGTCAGAAGATGTCTCCTTGTAATCTCGTTGGTAACAGTTTGCCGAGCCTCATCAATAATAGCTTCAAACGGGATTTGTTGGGCAATTTTGGTTGCAATACTTTGTCGTTCATCTTTAGGGATACTCAAATGGGCTATCTCAGCTTGATGTCCTATATGAGTCTTACAAAATTCCACTTTAACGCTACCATTTACCATCGAAGTAATAGCTTTAATTTTTGCAGGACAGTAACTATTTATTTTCTTTGTTCCCTGAATTTTTATGGATCGTTTGCGACAAGACTCAGAAGATAAGTGTGTTCTGTAATTACCTGATCGATGGCACTGATAGTAAGTGATTTTTTTGTCTTTATATGTGTAGCTACCCCTTCTGTTGATAAACAGAGTTTTTTCACTTTCTTCATGACACTTCTTCCACTTTAAAAATTCTTCTTCACAAATGAATGAAATTTTCTCCGATTCGATATTAATCTGATGTTTAGAATATAAGTGATCATTCAAATTGGCTGTATTAACAAGGTCTGAAGCACATATTGCACACTGAACAGTTTGTGAACACCTTGGGTCTCCGACATTAGGGCTGTATTCGTTGTGAACATTATTATAATGTCTCTTCAGAGAAAACCTTTTAGTGAATGTCTTAGAACATAGTTTACACACATGAGACGACATTCTAAGTTATTAGGGTAAAACTGAATCACTGAAAAGTGTATAACAAACTAGGCCTGTAACAAACATTCGACATTCCAGTTGAAATTTGACTTAGGCCTATTTTACCTACGACCGTTTTTTAAACTAGCCGTTTCAGTTCAGTTCTTAGAAATGAAAATATGGTGCTTTAGTGTTATCCGGAGGCTGCCATTATACAGCAGGCTGCGGCGGTATAGGTAATGGGGGTATGGGAACTTAGGTTGGGTTATCATAAATTAAAAGAAAATACTTTAATTGACTACTGTCTACATTTGACATGATTACAACTAGCGACCTTTGAGTTCTGCCTGCCAGAAGGCAGCGATGTCGGCAAGGATTGAGTTAAATGCATCGCCGCCGCTAGCTGCCACACCAGATACAGGCAGTGACAGGTGATGCGTGTGCTCCGGTCAACGACCTCACCTTGGCCTACTTGGAGGGGATTTGGCGAGCAAAGTATGACTCATCTGGTTGGTACAGTATTGTAATAATAAGTTAATTCATAATTGATTCATAATAAAACGAGGAAAGTCATACAAACATATTTATGATAACCCAACCTAACATAACCGCCACAGTGCACTGTACAAAAGTGTGCTGTACCTCCGGATGATACCAAAGTACCTACCGAAAATATTTACTTAACAGCATTGTTGTTTTCCTTTAAGTAACTTACAACAGAATGAGGTTCAAGGATTGAAAGAAAAGAAGAAAGTTAGGCTAAAATTGTAATAGCTTACCTACTTTGAACATCAGCCAACGATAGCCTATAAACCGTAAACTTATCATCGGTTTACCAATTTAAATGATCAAACAATGAGTTATTAGTGGTTGAGGACAATAAGACGTTGCATCACAATCAGCGGCAATTAGAGGTTATAAACGAAAACATAGGAAATTATTGCGACTAGGGTGACCAAGAGTACTAAGTTATAATATACCATAATAATGAGAAATTATAAAAGAAAACATAACCTCCCTTGGAAGTTATGAGTAAACTAAATTAAGGTAATTTAGTAATTAAGAAACGGTCGTAGGTAAAATACCTAGTGTAGGCCTACACAACACACGTAGGCCTAAATTAGGCCTAGCCTTAACGACACTCGTAGTGTTATCATTTATAAGCACTCACCAGGGCTCATACCTTAAATTCTCTACTTGTGTCATTAACAACGCGATCGTTGCTTAAACTCCAATACAAGGCAATATTAAGCCTAAAATCAACTAAAAGGCTTAAGTTAACTAAACTTGGGCCCTAACTCAAGGTTGGGCCCAAAACTCATTCTTATCAAATTAATCCTAATCTAACACAACTCAACCAACTTATGCCTTTCTTAAGTCACTCTTGAGGGATTCGAGAGAGAAAAAATAAAGTTAGGTACCGTAAGTTAAGTGAACTGAATTTATAGTTAAATTTCATAAATAAAAATAAGTAACACCATTGACTAACACTTAACAGCAAAGTTTGAGACAAACAACAATGCAAATTTACAGTTTGCAGTCTGCATTAACTTTTTTTTTTCTATTTTGCCAAAAATGGCCGGCTTTGCTCGGTTAAAACAATGCAGCCGCGTGGTTCAGTAACTGTTGACACTCTGAACCTGGTCCAAGCCAAGAAGAAAGGAGTAAGTAATCAAGAAGAAAACAGCTGTTACCCCAGGAACTGCTCCAAGGCCATCTGCTGAAAAAGTGATGGGTACCCAATCTCGAGTCAATTCTACAAATACCCCCGCCGCAGCAAACCTGCCGACTAAGCAAATTTCCATTTGTCTGAATTCATTTTCAACTAAACCTTTTTAAATAACTTATATTGGAGATATTGGCAATGAATGATGAAATGTATAACTAATTTTAAAAGTTCAAAAAGGCCAATATATAATAATTTGTTTGAATCACTTATGTTCAAAAAGGCCAATATATAATAAATTGTTTTAATCACTTATGTGATTAAAACAATGTATTATATATTAGCCTTTTTGAACTCTTAAAATTAGTTATAGGCCTACATTTCATCTTTTTAAATAACATTAGGTTTAATGAGTACCTAGGTTTGCTGCAACCAGGAAACTAAATTAACTAATAAAGTGTATTTTTTTGTAAAATATTAATAGCTTAGTACCGGTATCAAATTTGCCAAGTTTGATCAAAATATATCCATAAACAAGCAAACTACAACATTTTACAATATTCTCCATAAGAATAGTATGGGAATTTTATATTTACAATTTTTTGAATTTTCTCCGTTACCAATAACCGTACAAAAACACTTTGATATACCAAATTATTTGTTTTTTTAAGCTATTTAAAAAGGCCTAGAGAGATATTAGGAAATTTTGTGTTTTGAGGGTCAAAAATTAGAAAAACCATTTTTCACCCCATAAAACCCCCCGTAAAACCCCGTTCCCATGGTCCGATCATGCTGGTTCGCGAACTCATTCAAGTTTATCCCGCCTTACACCTTTAAACCAAATTTCATCGAAATCGGACAAAAATTACTCAAGTTATCGCGTTCAGGGACATATATATATATATATATATAAATGTGATATATATATATATTATTTACTTATTTATTAAACATCATCACATTACATCAATTCTCTTGACAGGTGATTTGTCACAAAGTTATTAATACTATACTACATTTTAAAATAAAATAGCTTACAAAAGAAATAAAGCATATAATAATCTACAAACCTATGAGAGAAGCAATATCTTTCAAATATACTCATTTTCCAGATAGCCTATTCTTCTAACGAGTATGCCCTCTCCAAAAGGAAATTTTTTAAAGATAGTTTAAATTTAGAGAATGAGGCAATGTTTTTAATCCAAGCGGGTAATTTATTGTAAATTTTTAGTCCCATATACTGAGGGGATGAAAGATTTTAAGCCTATGTTGAACTGGTTTTATAATATTTTTGAATCTTGTGTTATGTGGATGAGATTGTTGACAGTCCATGAATGTGTCGAAATCACTTTTAACCATTAATGCCAATTTTGTAAATATAAGAGCTAAAAATAGTTAAATTTTTAAAATTAATTAATAAATCTTTACAATGTGTTCTACGGGAGACTCTGGCCATTGATCTTACAGCTCTTTTTTGGAGAATAAATATTTTTTGGCCTGGCTTGATGAGCCCCATACAGTAATTCCATAATTCATAATCGATGAAAAATGCGTGATATACTACTATTTGTGTTTCTAGATTAGTAGTATCCCGAATTATTGTGAGAACAAATGTTGCTGAGCGTAGTCTTTTTGATAAGGTTTTTAATGTGTTTTTGCCAATTTAGTTGTGAATCGATATCTATTCCCAAATAATTTATTGACTGTTGTGAATGAATTGTAGTTATGTTTGTTTTTACAATTATTTCTTGGTTAATATTGGATGCAGAGAACTGAATTAGTTGAGTATACATATATATATACAATGTGATTTATCAACTATCGTGTAAACATTGTCCAAAAGATTACATTGGCCAGACTTCAAACTCTTTAAGAGTTCGAATGACAGGCCATCGTTTTGATGTGGTACATGAAGACAAAAGAAAACCAATCTATAATCATGCCGCTCACCACAACCAAAATTTCGAAGGCTGCTATACCCTTAAAGCCCTTCACAAAGTAAACCCACGTCAAAACCCTAAATGCAACCAACTGGTTTTAAGAAATTCTGAAAAGGCTCACCAGTTGGTACTGAAAACAAAGTTCCCCTCTGGTTTAAATTTAAGATAGTAAAAAAGTGATTCAACTCAGCTGAATTTTAATTTTATTTTAGGCTGATTTTATTATTTTCTTTGATCTGTACTCGATCATAAGATAATATGTTCTCAAAATTCAACTATTTGTAAACAGTTCATATTATTTATTTGTTTGGTTCATCTTTACATTTTTCATTCTCTTTGCTTGAAAACGTTTGTCTTAAACGAAAATTTGCAATGTTTCATGTTTCATTCATCATAAACTCTATCAAGATCTCCTCAAGAATATATATATATATATATATATATATACATGTACTAGCTGACCCGGCGAACTGCGTATCGCCTAAGTTATAGGTTTCCCCTAAGACAGACCGATGGAAAGAAAGTACCGTTACGTTTAATTTTCAAGATGATCTCGTTCGCATCGCTCAATCACGTCCTGGTTGAAGTTCGTTCGCTACGCTCACTCACCTTTGGGTTGGAGCTCGTTCGCTGCGCTCACTTGCCTTCAGGTTAGCTCGTTCGCTACGCTAACTCGCCTCCAGGTTGAAGTTCGTTCGCTACGCTCACTCACCTTTTGGTTGCAAATTAGCTGTTGTCATAATGTAAAAGAAATAATAGTGCTGCACCCTGTTGGTAATCCTTGTAACTTTAATGCTATTGAACATCATAGAACAGAACCAACTTGTTTAATTGAAACAGCTGTTAAGATTCATTAATTCCATTTCTCATAAGGTTAACATGGGAAACTCCAGAGCCACTGGGGCGGAGCCCTTTTAAGAATTTCGAAACGGGAAATAGTTTACGTCCGATTCGCATACCTACAGAATTTACACACCAAATTTCATAACGATCGGTGAAGTCGTTCCGGAGGAGTTTGCAGACAAACACTGTGACACGAGAATTTTATATATTAGATAAACATTTTAACGAATGGTGTTTTTGGCCTCTGGGGACATCAAAATGAAAAAGCAAATCGGTCCCGGGCTTAGTCTTACCATAGACAAAAGTCTTACCATGCCACCTACGGTAATAGCTACATCCCTATTGGGAAATTCGCTAAAAGACATTTCTACGTATACTAGGTTTTTTCTACACCTTTTCCAACTTTATTTAAGAAACAGTTATGTTTATTTAAGGAGAGGGCACGCGAATATGAATAGCCTATACTAATGTACAATTTTTACAATTTTTATATCTTGTTATTTATTAAATTTGACATTAAAAACAGAATTTTCACCGAATCAATTTTAGTCATAACTCAATGTCACAATCACAAACCACAACTAATTTTTAGCTTATGGGAAACAGAATGGCATTTAGTAGTTTAGCATTTAGCGTCAATCGGTGATTTTTAGTCGAATGAATCGCCGAATAAATTTTAGTTACATGATGATGTGACAATCTAAATCAACTAAATAACCAAATCGCTCGTTAGACTAATTTAACCGAACCAGGATAAAATCACCGAATTAGTCTATTCAGCACCAATAACCGATTGATTCGGTTATTTTCATTCGGTGATTCCCACCACTAATTAATTGTTGCAACAGTTGCAGTGAAGATACTAGTGTGATTTTCTGTAAAGGCTGCTACAAGAGCGACATGAAAATACTGTATGGCCTGGCCACGGCCCCCTTTAACGCGGCCTGTAGTTAAAGGGGGCCGTGGTATGCAGTTAGTTACTAGCGCATGCGCTGAAGTGCGGCATTTTCCGCATTTTCCTGTCATGAAATGCTCGCCAGCTGAAGAAGCTGGAAGCTCGCTATTTTGTTTACGCCACACTACATTATTTTGACGAACTTCCCACGCAAGGATTTAGTCCAGAAAACAGCTGTTTGCCGCCAGCTTATTCAAATGGGGTTTCATTGCGTACTACTGTGCTGCAATGAGTTTTGCCGGACACCAATCAGCTGATTATACTGTATTTAGGTGGCAGTGAATGGTTATAAACAAAAACATAACCTCTTTATGACTAGTGATTTTTAGTCCTTTAGTTGGTGGAAATATATAAGGATTTGTACGGATTTAGTAGTATGGCGTAAACTATCGTACGTAACTCGTCCAAAATATGTGTACCGGACTCGTATGGTAATCCCGTACTCGACTTCGTCTCGCACGGGAACGACCACACTCGTCCGGTAAACACTTATTTTCAGGACTAGTAACGTAATATACTATTTGACTATCTGTCAATGTCAATCTATCCCTCCTAGCACAGAAAGTATCCAGTCAGTATGAGTATGTTTTTTCTGTGCTCCTAGCCTCCTACCTAACCTATAATGTTTGTCGTGTTTTATATTATATTTTTACACTGAGTTATATCCATAAACTTGTTAATGATTCAGTTGAGTGATTTATTAACTCTTTGAAATTTGAATAGATTATGGACACTGAGAAAACTGGTTGGGAAACTTTAAATCACCTATGTACCAGTGACGGGAATGGATGACTTTAACACAGAAGCTTTTGAAGAATAGGCCTATCCCTATTGGCTTTTCGCTTTTCTCTGTTTTACTAACTTTATGGCACTTGCAAACAATTAATTAAAGGAAAGAAACTGTACCCAAGGATTAATTTACATCTGCTTGAATATTGAACAATGTCAAGTCATGGAATTCTTTATCTAAGCTCTGAGGTAAGTAGGCCTAAGTTTTCTAGTCCTAGGTCTTGAACGTCGAGGTTCAATAATTTAACCTCAAATTTAAATAATAATAAACATTAAATGGTCTAGCCAATGTTTTTTTGGTCACATGACAAAAATCTGTTTTTTAAAAGGATTTATAGTAAGGCCTACTTAGCTACCGGTAACTTAGTTCTGTTAAGAATAGGATATAGGCCTAGGCTACAACCATTTGATGTTATTTGTTGGATATTAAGTTATGTTATGTTCTGGATATAGGTTAAAGTAGGAGCTGGTTCTATTACGAAGGCTATGGGAGTGGTGGGATTTCCTTGTTTTGTTGATCGAGCTGCAGGTTATTCCTCACATTTAACACTAACTTAGAGACTAAACAGGACATAAGTTACTGGCTGTAAATGGAGAAGATTAATAGGCCTAAGCTTAGTCCCATGAATATAGACTCGCAGTGGTCGCTATAACCCACTGATGCGATGATCCAAACCTGAGGTTTTTAAGGAGATGAATTAATATCATCATAATATAATGATGATATTCTTTTCAGTTCTGGAGCCTTCCGCCTACCTAAGTGCAAGTCAAGGCCTCTCGTTCTATTTGAGCTTGCCTTTTCTATGTGCCTGTTATTGCTCTTGAATCATAAGCTTAAATCATGGGAAAAGACTTAACTTATGCCCTTGTTCGAATTAACACCCAACGTCAAAATAAATCCAACCTAACTCGGAGCATTATCATCAAAAGGGTTTAAGTTAACACTGAAGAATTTGGTTTTGCATGTTTTTTTTCTTCTAGACAAGATTTTGACCTAACAATATCAGAACTTAATTTGGGCCATAGACAAAACATACAACTCCCTTAGTGGTGTTGGTTAACTTAGTTCAATGCCACTTAATTTTATAAATCTTTATTTCATGCATCATCATGCTAAATATTTCACATCCTCTTGTGCACCCACAACCTTTTTTTCTTTTTTTTTCTTTTGAGGAAACCTTTAGGTAGGTTACATGTAATTTTACAATGTTGTTAAGCTATTGGCAGAGTCTATTCACACTTTTAGCGCCTCAGGGTCCTGGTCAAAAACCGATGAGAATCTCTTCTGCGAAGGTGTGGGGGATTGTGGGAGAGCCCCTCACCTTGATTTAAGACAAAATTTAAAATTTTTTAATTAAATTTAAACTGTCATGACCTAACTCAACCAACCAAACTTGCTGATAATATCAAAAATATAGGCCTATAGGCTAAGATAAAAATTGAATGAGGTTTACTAATAAAAAAAAATAGTTCTGTTCACAAAATTAAATTATCAATGCCTCACATTCAAATAAATTATAGTTAAGAAGTAATCACATTCTAAGCAAAATCTTTGACAAAAAGTTAAATGTCGCCAGTGGGATTCGATCTGGTTACATCATGGACATCAGCCGAGTATTCTATCCACTACACCACGAACATCCGTTCACTTTGTATCGTTGCGGTAATGGTGTTCCCTCAAGAGAGTAACGTCACGCCCCCCACTCTTTAGCAGATGAGGTTCTCATCGGTTTTTGAGACGCTGAGACGCTAGTGTCTTTTCACTGTTTATAACAATAAGTAGCCTACACAAATACAATAAATAATCATGGAATATAAGCTTACAACAATGACAGAGCAATTTTTTTATAAAAAAAAAACACATACAACAAAAAACAATAAAATTGCTAATGCTTTAACAAGGAAAAAAGTCTATGGTTAGGCTTTTAAATGTAGGCCTATAGTAAAACAATACTTCTTGCTACGAGATTAAACTTTATTACAAATTGACAAATTGTAAACATAGGTAAATAAAAAAAAAAAAAAATTAACAATTTAAAACATAGCCTATGTTAGAACCATCATGATACATACTTCCTCTCTTTTACCCAACTAATCTTTATTTCCTCCAAATCCCCATCAAAACCAACTTAGCTAGCCTAGATATTTTGCATGGATTAGTAAACTTTAATATTTCTGTTTTAGGACACAGAAGGCGGTTTCCGACAAAAACTAATGACATTTCTGCATTCAGTGTGCAAAATACTGTTGACAGGACCAAAAGTATCAGGGATACTGTATCCCACTTTTAACATTAGGCGATGTGTTACATGGTGATTTAGGCAGAGGGTGATTACAAAACTTATGAAATGGAAATGAGTGTGAATATGTCAACAGAGATACCACATGTATATGATTGGGATTGGGATGTTAATAATTATCAATCCCGTTATCCGCCTGATTATTGGAATCTATGCCAACTCTTCATGGTGCTAAACAAAACCAAATACCCTGAGATTCGTCTGGTTCAACTCACAGATGCTTTTTTCAATAAGGGGTTGTACCGTATGGAGTAAGTCTTTATTAATTATTCTCCTTGTTTAAATGTTTTCATTGTACTTTTTATGATAAATTATACTGTAGGCCTATTTAGTTGATTACAGAACATTACCAACTTATCCAACCAGGTATTAAAAGGATTAGCAATCACCTTCCTTTTTTATCCATCCTCGCAGATTAGTATGCGCTAGTATGCTTATACTGTTGTGGCAATTGCTGCGTTCGGCTGACAGTAGCATGGTAGCTCAGTCAGCTAAGGTGTTGCACTGTTTATAGTAGCATTGAGGTCTTTCTAAAGGGTGCGTCAAAAAAACCTGACGGTTTCTGTTTTGTAATAAGTCAGCTGTTATACTAGCTAGAGCCCTCATTGTTGTAGTGAACGATTGCTTATGTTATGCCATTTTTAGGTTATGTTTGGTAAAACATCACGTCGTCAAAAGAAAGTTACTGTCTAGTGTGGTGCAGTGTGGTGTGGCACTGTTTGGAGTCATCGGACCATATGTTTTTGAGGACGAAAGTGGGAACACCCCCCCTGTCACTGTGAACTCGGAACGCTATTTGGAAATACTGAGGGGGTTTTTGGTTCCACAACTGCGGATGTTATGAGAGATAGACATGACTAACACGTGGTTTCAACAGGACGGCGCAACTTGTCATACAGCCAATTATTCAATGTCATTTTTGCGTGAACTCTTTGCCGGTAAAGTGATCTCTTGGTTTGGTGATGTGCTGTAGTCAGCTCGATCCCCAGACTTAATTTGGTGTGACTGTTGGCTGTGGGGATACTTAAAAAGCAAAATGTTTGTTTCGACATTTCAAACCATCCCTGAACTCAAGCAGTGTATCAGGAAAGAGATTGCTTCTATTCATCAAGCGAAGGTGACTGCAAATATACAAAAAAATGGGATGCCTGTGTTTAGCAGAAGGCGATATAAACTGAGTGATATAATTTTTCATAAATGAAAATGGCATAGTAGTGTGTACAATATAACGTTATTTAATACATGAAATTGTAGTTTGTTCTTGAGTTATATAGTATTAAAAACCGTCAGGTTATTTTGGCGCACCCTTTACATGCACATGTTTGAATTCCTTACATGTACATTGTACAATCCATATCAACCTAACCAATTTGTGGCTTAGCTGGTGTGGCAAAGTTGGAGTTTTAGATGTATTTTGATGCAACTTTGAAATGTGAAAGGTGTAATAAAATGACATCCAATAATAAGGGAATGATGTAATATTACTGAATAGCTTTCAGTTGAAACTGTGATTCAACTAGTTTCAGATAAATCAGCCTACCACGAGCCCCATATCAACCGATATGGGTTCTTATTCTAACACCAATCTAACGGAAAGGTGGTTGTAACAGAACACAGGTTAGGGTTATTTACACCCGAATAGCTATATTTAGCCGAATATTTTTCGTGCTTATATTATTAGCACGAAATTGGTAGGCCTAATCCATGTGGTGAATCTGAACTCACAAAACTGTGAATTTTGTTGTTAGCTGTGACCCCAAGACAGATCGTATTGTGGCTGCTCTATCCATCCCCGTGGTTGAACATCTGCTGAGTTCACATCCTGGGTACATTCACCACCCTTTCTCAAACCAAGATTATGAGAATCGATCAGGTAATAATAATTAAGATAAAAACAACATTATAGGCCCCTAATGTATAAAATCATACAGCTATTCTTTTTTTGAAGATTGCTTTTTGTGATGACATGACACTTCTGTGTCATGAAAAAAGTCCTTTTAATATTCCTGTATCATCAATACAACCCAATTTTCTAAAATAATCAATTAGGCTACTTACTGGTTCAATTAGTTGTTGCTTAATTATATTTTTGGATTCTTAAAGCATGATTGTAGCTTAAGATCCATGCTTAATAGTTGGGCGAGCCCCATCATTATGCACGGTTTTTGGGGGGGGGGGGGATGGGGAGTAAATATTTAAATTTGGGACTAAAAATGGTTAGTTCCATAGTAAATAAAATTATATAATACTAGCTGTAACCCGCGGGCTTTGCCTCGTTTAACTTCTTAATTTTCAAGATGATCTCGTTCGCATTGCTCACTTGCCTTCAGGTTAGCTCGTTCACTACGCTAACTCGCCTCCAGGTTGAAGTTCGTTCGCTATGCTCACTCACCTTTTGGTTGCAAATTGAAATTAGCTGTTGTCATAAATGTAAAAGAAATAATAGTGCTGCACCCTGTTGGTAATCTTTGTAACTTGAATGGTATTGAACATCATAGAACAGAACCAACTTGTTTAATTGAAACAGCTGTTAAGATTCATTAATTCCATTCTCATAAGGTTAACATGGGAAACTCCAGAGCCACTGGGGCGGAGCCGATTGGACGGATCACGAAATTTATGGTGTATAAACCTATTCCATGAAATTCTACACGTATGTACCAAGTTTCGTGGCAATCGGTTCAGCGGTGTCTGAGTTTATATATATATATACAAACATCCTCTTTTATACTTATAGATGACCATTAAACCATTTAAAGAATAAATTAAACATTTGTACAAATGAAACTAGAACTGAACTTTAGAAACAGTGTGCTTTTAACTATTGTATACATTAGTCGTTAATTATTTTTTTATTTGGCACTAGAATTGTTGGTATTACAGAAGCAACAGATGAAGTCAAGACGGGTGAAGAGAACATTTTGAACTGCAACCTCAAGCTCTCTTGTTCCCAGTACAGGAAACTGGTCAAGGAGCGAAAGTTAGCGGAGGGGACATGGAAATCTAAATCAGAATGGCGGAAATCTAAAGATCTCGCTTCTCGTAAAAAGAAGAATAAGTCTAAAAGTGTAAAGGTTGAATCTGCGCAAAGCGAAACACCCAAAATTGCTGGGGGGATTGTCTTGGACAGTGCTTTGTCTAAGAAAGTGACACCACGAGTGAAGCGAACGAGATGGGACCAGACCACTCCTACTGCCTCAACTGCCCGAGTAGGGAAGAGGGTCGATGCAGGTGAGAACAAGCCCACCTTCAAGAAGCTCTTTGGACGCAAGATGGCTGCTGTTCCTGAAGCATTTCCGCAGGTAAGGTTCACAGAGGAACAGGCAGAGGCTCTAGAGGAACAGTTGGTCAGTGAGCTCTGTCTGGTAGAAGAAGGGACAAAGCTCCAGATTCAGAAAACATATCTGGAAAGTGGAGCTTTGATTTTGACCTGCAGCAACGAAGACACTGTTGACTGGCTGAAGACAATCTCCCACAAGCTACGTGTTGGGGGTGATGAGGAGGTGGTGGTCAAAGTTGGGAATTACAAGGATCTCCTGAAGACCACCAGGGTCCTCCTCAGAACCAACAACCGGTTAGCAAAGAGAGAGGCAAAGGATTTGATTAGGATGATCAAAACCCAGAATAGTGGCCTGTCGGTGGATGACTGGAGGATCGTCAGCTGCAAGAGAGAGGAAGAGTGCCAGACCCTTGTTCTTGCAGTTGACGAGGCATCAGTTCAGACACTGAAGGCTACAGGGTGGAGGCTGTTCCTAGGATTGGAACAGGTACAGCTGAAGGTATTGACCGGAGATGCCAAGAAGGAGTCCTTGAGGCTAATCTCTACAGCAAGGCTGCCTTCGCTTACCCCTGTTGCAGATTCAGAGCGGAGAAGATGGACATAACCTTGATTGAGCCGTGGATCAGAAATGGTTGCATTTTTAGTGCTTAATGGGGTTAAGATTAATGTCTATTCGGGTGTAAATAACCCTAACCTGTGTTCTGTTACAACCACCTTTCCGTTAGATTGGTGTTAGAATAAGAACCCATATCGGTCATAGACTAACAGATATTTATTGCCTGCAGGGTAAGAGAACAATTGCTGATTTGATTTTTTTTCTTTTATTGTCACTTCTATAGCTACCCCTATGTTCGCTGCCAACTATCAATCAACCCTCTTGTGCGCATCAGGGCTTACATCTAAATATATAGTAAATGAGTACCTAAGTGTAAAAACTGTAACAATTGTTGATAACAATTTATGTTGAATTCAATATAAATTTAGTAAAATTGCTCAAGTATCGGACAATTTAGGTGGTTTAACAGTCCCCTCTACTTCGGTAGGGGTGTATTATCAGTTAATAGATCAGCTATTGTACAAAAGTAAGCTAGTGGAACAGGAACGTTCAACAGAGGTTTATGTTTTAGTTTTGTATTATATTGTATAGTTATTTTTTACTTATGTACTGTTTTGTACAATGTGTAGTGTAATATAAATAATGCTTGTTTGATTAAAAAGCCATGTTTTTAGCCCATGATTTCTTTTGGACAAAATATAAGACTAAATTACTTACGCAATTTCTGTCAGACAGCTCAATAACATGTCCTGAACGAACACATTTTTTAGCTGTCTGAAGGTAATTGTAATAGTATATTTCGTACCTATGGCCGAAAATGAGGTTTTGCCAGCTTGAGATAGTTTTTAAGTGAGAGACAAAGTCGAGAACTTAAAACGATTGAGAGGTACAAACCCATTTTAGTCCATGGTACAAACGCTATTTTTCACCACACTATACCCTATTACCACTATTCACCACAATAATAATGCATACTAATAGTCAACACAAGTACAACTTTAAGGTTACCGGTATGTGAAGAAATAATTTGAGGAATCAGCAAAATAGTGATAAATAGTTGCTAGACAGTGGCATAGAAATAGAATAAATATAGACTGTCAAAGGAAGATTCCGGCCCAGCGTCTGCTGGTAGCACACAGCTCCTCGCCTGCAGCGGTGTGCTCCGTAACTACACGGCACTCTTAGCGGTGGGTGCCGGAAACTATGCTAACTGCAGCACTGCTGCCGGTCTATATTTATTCTATTTGTCTATGGCAGCGGTGACAATAAAACAATTGTATTGCAATGTTATACACTGATTGTGTATTTAATATTCATTAATGTTTTAAGAAAGTAAGCGGGTAGCTGATTTTTTTCCCTAGGGATGTAAAAACCTGCTTGGTCCCCAAATGACAATGACAGCTAGCATAGACAGCAATACATAGCTTTAATAAACGTTTGTAAAATGGCTATAAACTTCGTAGTGTGGTGAAAATGTATTTACAAAACTCAACATTTTGATGAAATCAATACTTTCTCAGTATACCACATATAGGGGGAGAAAGTAAAAATAAAAACCTAAAAGGATCCAAATAACTAACTCTGTTTTCAGTAGATAAAGAGCACCTTGGGCTTTTTTTATTTACAAAATATATTACACAGTTATCGGTATACAAATAAAGATAAACATACAACAGACAAATCATAGAACCTAACAAATAGAGGAAATTCATTCAATCTCGTATAACCAAAGCCTCTCTAGTTATTTTCCACATTAATCCAACAAACACTGAAATTAATCACAAAAATCAGAGGATTCTTAAAAGAAAATTAATGTATTTTTTTTATTTATCAGACACAAATAACAGTTTTTATGTAAAGAAATCAATTATTGTAGAATTAGAAACCTAATCAGTGAAGGGAAACTTATTTTTTGCAGCGATAAAAATATTATTTGCTAGTAGTTGCATTTGTACAATTAATTTTTTATATCCATAATTTTGTATATTTTCATCACACAGACAAAACCATCTTTAAGTATTTGATATCAAGTGAATATACAAATATGAAGAGGTTTGTCTGTTCACCTTACTATGTCATCTTTCAACATGAAGTCGTCTGACTACATGTGAAGATAGGGACGTCGGTCTAGTTACAACTAGCCTAGTCGAGTAAATGATTTGGTTACAATTCAATTTTCTATCTTAGACCTATACTTTCCAGTTGGGTTGGACTTGGTTTTTAACTTGTTCTTTATTCAATATACACAGTTATTTTGTCTTGTCTGTAAATATTAGTAAAGGAACTGTTTTATACAAATGTAATACATTGAGGGAGAAGGAATGTGCCCAACAAACTTACCTTAGAAAAAGTTCTAGGTAGTTTAAAGTACACAAAAATATTCAAAACACAATAAACTTGATATTTCGCTCCTAATTTTCTCGTGAAGAAGCCCCTTGCAGAGGTGAAATATAAACTTTATTGTGTTGTGAATTATTTTTTGTGCTTTGAATTACCTGGAACTCTTTTAAGTTAGTTGTACATCCATTTCTTCTTCCTTGATGTATTCCTAAGCCAAATGCTTTTTCCTCCAAAAGACTTTTACAAATTTTAAGTGACTTTCAATACTTGTAATTTCACATTTGGATAAACTTAAGTTATTTTGCACTAACTTGAAGTGTTTGTAAATACTATTTCTTATTACAACTTTTTTCATTAAGAGATATAAATTTAAAATAAAAGGGAAATTATGTAATTCTATTAGAAGTAAGTGGAATTCACATGGGAACGATATATTCTTTACTCTCTTTCAGTTTAATTTTTGTTGTAAATTTACAGGTGTCTACATTTTTGTACCTATTCACAGAAAAGCTTGATATACTTAACATAAACATTTTGATTATTAATCACGCTCTATGCTGTATAAAGACAAACTCAGTAAAATTGAGTGTAAGTACATTCGTTTCGAGACAACACAAAAGCAGAACAGAAAGTTAACAGTAGTGAAATAAACTTACAATCAAACACTGTTCATAAGACTATCTGTATAGAAGACAATATGCTGTTCTAAATATCCTATGTAAGTCGTTAACAGCCTATGGCAGATTTAGTATGCTACAAGGTTTACAGTTATCACATAACTCTATTGCACACTGATGACTATTGTTCATGTTAACTACATTTACAGAGCTCGCGGAACGTGAATACTAGAGAACAGTCAGAAGAAATGCATAAATGAGCAAGGTAACGTTAAAGTACTCGAAGCCACTGATTGTGATGATGACTAGTCGACATTGATCGATCATTGTTGCCAACATTTCACCTCGGCTCGTTCAGCGTTTCTCGCAGGGCCGCCAACTGCTCTTCACCCAGCTGGATTTTGTCGGATATTTCCCGGGAGTCTATGAGCAGTTTTGCCTTCATGTTTATGAAGTGGTCGTAGTCTGCGTACTCCTCAGCGGTCAAATACTTGTACAGCATCGCCGACACTGAATCACTCCGTCTGTCGATGTTTCGCTTCAGCTCTTTTGCTTCCTCGAGTTGTGTTTGAAGTTTGTCTCTCTTGCCCTCCAGAGTTTTCTGTAATCAGCAATATTTATTTCAGAAAAAAACAGATTTTGTATTTATGGTAAAACTACATCACTCCAGTCCACAACTAATATCAAAATTTCTCATTAAAAAATAGCCAATAAATTATTTTGAATCAAAAATTGTAGTGTTTATGCGACTGAGCTTAAACAGCAAACAAAATCAGAAACAAATGTTATCAATATAATTTTAAAACTTACGCCACAGGTACATGACTAGCACTTCCTATAGCCACAATGGCGTTTTTGTGTTCTTAGTCAAGTAGCAAGGAGAATTTTTAGTTTTCTTTTCTGAACAAGTAGCAGAGAACTAAAAGTTGAGGTATACATCGACAAAGAAGGAATGTACACACAACTAACTCACCTAAGAAGAGGGTTCCCTTCACTTGATAGCACATAACTAATTCACAACATAATTTTTTGTAATCAGTCAACTACTTGGAAATATTTTTTTGGATAGCAAGTCGTGAATCCATTCCTTTTTCCAATGCATTCCCAAGCTAAAAAAAAACTAAGCTAAAAACTAAAATGTTATGAATTGATAAGTTTATAATGCATCCAGTTCTGCTTAAACTACTTGAGTTCACATTGAAAACTATTTCAGCAATGTATTGAAAGCAAAATCTCGCATCTACATTCAAAATTTGAAAAAAGGCGTACCCTGTCCACATGGTCGTCAGGCAGTGTGAGAAGGGCGTTCTCAGCGCGCGCTAGTCGCCCTGACAGTCCCAACAGGAGACTCGTGATGTGTCCCACTTCCTTGATGTGAAGACGGAACTTTGTTGCCTCCTGTGGCTTGGCGAGCGCCGACACTCTGTCACCCACACTTGCGCCGAGCGCCTCATTCACTTCTCCTTCCTCCTCCACAGCTACTGCCTCGGCGCGCAGCACGCTCAGCTTGCGTGACAGTCGGTTCACCAGCTCCTCCTGTGACATACATGTGTATTGTTATGCTGAGACAAGGAAACGCACACAATACATCAAGACATTCCACTCCCCTGTAAAATTGTATCCTATTTGCAATAAAAATGAACTTGCAGTAGTTAAATTTAGCCAGATAGAATGTGGTGATGTAAATTACAGTAAACCTTACTAACTCAACAATTTGTTGACCTAGGGGTTGTCAAGTTATCCAAAACATTCAAATTTTTAATGGGTAAAAAAAATTATACATAAAAGATTAATTTTATTTTACATATAATTTTAATTCTTACATGAGTATTCTTTCATATTGAGTAAACTATTTTCCTACAGTTACCTAACAATGTACATGTTCTCTCACTGATTTGGGAAAGCAAAGTGGCCAATTCGCTCATCAGTGAGACAATGTTAACATTGTCTCACTCTAATTACTTTGTCTCACTCCAGATTTGCAACGTGAAGGCACGTTTTCTTTACCAATTTATTTGTTTTAAGTAGGGAAAATATAATGTGCAACTCGAGTGCAAAGTGCAATCGCCTCACTCGAGAAACCATTCCCAACATTGTCTCACTCTATTTACTTTGTCTCACTCACTCCAGATTTGCAACGTGAGGGCACGAAATAGTGAGTGCGTAAAATGCATACAAGGTCGTATGGGCGCGAAATACGTTGGCAGCACTGGCTGTAAATCAGCTGGTCAGCTGCTGTACTGTTGTATCATTAAATGTCATATTAAAAGTTCACTTCTGTGTAAAAATACGTTAAGTTTCTTTACCAATTTATTTGTTTTATGGTAACTGTAGGAAAAATATAATGTGCAACTCGAGTGCAAAGTGCAATTGCCTCACTCGAGAAACCATTCCTCACTCGCCTACGGCTCGTAAGTATTTCTCTTGAGTGAGTCAATTGCTCACTTTGCTCACTAGCTGCACAAATAACTATTTCAAAGAAAAGTTAAATATTCAGCAATTAAAATTTGAAAAGTCGAACAAAATAGTAAGACAAAGCCAGCTAAACGTGCGCTCTGTCAGCTGTTGACTGTCGAGTTACCAGGTCGAGTTAGTGAGGTTTTACCATACTGTTTCCTCTGTCCAATAAACCAAACTTGTTGACTGAGCTATTCTGGACTTGAACTTTATTGTGAACTGTTACGTCTGTGTATCAAAAACTAAG